TATTTCAGTTTCATTCACATAGCAACCCATATTCTATAACTAAGTTATTAACAAAAGTAGCAGGATACAAATCAATGCACAAAAATCAGTAGTCTTCTTTATGCAAACAATCAACCTGAAGAAGAAATGAAGAAGGTCATCCCTTTTATAATTGAAATAAAAAAAACAGATAAACCTAACAAAAGAGGTGAAGGACCTCTATAAATAAAATTATAAAACATTGCTAAAAGAAATAGAAGAAAATGTAAAGAAATGGAAAAACATCCCCTGCTCATGAATTGGAAAAATCAACATTATTAAAATGGCCATCCTGCCAGAAGCAATTTACAGATACAACACTTTTTTGATAAAAATTTCAATGGCATTTTTCAAAGAAATAGAACAAATATTGATGAAATTCATATGGAGACACAAAAAACCCTCGAATTGACAGAGCCCTTCTGAAGAAAACAAGGGAAAATGGGGGTATCATATTCCTGGACTTCAAACTATAGCATAGTCATAATAATTAAACAGTGTGGTACTGGAACAAAACCAGACACACAACGATGGAATTTTTAGAAAGCCCAGAAATAAAGCTGCACATGTGTGGAAAACTAATCTTTAACAGAGGAGTAAGTAATATGCAATGGAATCAGGACAGGCTGTTAAATAAATGGTGCTGGAAAAACTGGGCCAACTTAACCAAAAAAATAAAACTATACCACTGCCTCACACTCTGCACAAATTTAACTCAAAATGGATAAAAAATCTGAACCTAAGACCTGATACCAAAAAATATATAGAAGAAAATATAGGTAAAACATTATAAGATGTATACATTTCAGTAACATCTTTAAAGACTCATCCCCGTAAAGCATAGAAAGTAAAGGAAAAGGTAAATAGCTGGGAATACAACAAACTAAAAAGCTCCTGTACAGCAAAAGAGACATTAACCAAAACAGAGATACCCTACTGACTTGGGAAAATTTTTTGCTCTCCATAAAACTGATAAGGGACTGATCACAAAGATCACAATTATATACAAAGAACTCATACCACTCAACAAAAACAAAGTAAACAAGCTAATCAAGAAATAGGTAGAAGAGCTTAAAAGACACTTTCTCAAAGAGGAAAGCAATTGACCAACAGATATATGAAAAAATGTTCAACATCCCTCATAATGAGGGAAATGCAAAACAAAACCACAATGAAATACCACCTTATACCAGTAGGAATGGCACACATCAAAAAAGAAACCAAAAAAACTAGAAACATGAAATTATGTCAAGGATGTGTGAAATAAGAATGATCCTACACTGTCTATGGGAATGCATGGAAAGCTATGTGGAGGTTCCTCAGACTTCTAAAAGTGGAGCTACCATATGACCCAGCAATTCCACTCCTAGGGATCTACCCAAAGGACACAAAAACTTTGATTCAATAGAATACTTATATCCCTATGTTTATTGCCACACTATTTATAATAGGTAAAATCTTGAAACAATTCGAATGCCCCAAAACAGATGACTGGATCAAGAAAATGTGGTATGTACTATGGAATACTATGCAGCAATCAAAATGGTAAAACTAACGCCATTGTAGCAACATGGATGGTGCTAGAAGGAATTATGCTCAGTGAAGTAATTCAGAAGAAAAAGAAAAATACTGAATGATATAATTTATAAAAGGAATATAGGTGAAGACAATAAGGCATCGGTGGAAAAAAATGATAAGAAAAAAACAGCACAACAAAACTAAATAAACAGACATCTATAAACCAGAGACATTCTTCAGGGGAGTGGAAAAGGGAGGGATCAGAACAAGGAAGGGGAGAGCAGCCGGGACTGTGGTGATGGTGCACCAGTAAATTGGTGGTAGAAATTCTATGGGGGTAACATCTGAGAAAAGCAGGCAAGCACTGCTAAAAAATGAACAATAATGCATAATATTTAGAAATTAAAAAAGGAGAGAAAAAAGACAAAGAAAATGCAGAAAGATAGAGCCAATCAAACTGTTCAAATCAGTGTTAAAAAGAAAATCTGAAAAGTAGCAGAAGATTAAAACTAAAGGCAACAGAGGATTTCTCATTAGGAACAAGGCAATTATAACATACTGGAGAAATAAAAGAAAAAATATCAATAAAGAATTCAAGTGCTGAAAGAAAAATCAAGTATTGACAATTAAAATAATTTATCCATTCAAGACAGAGCTCAAAAATGAAGGCAAAATAAGGATATCTTCAGTCATGTAAAAGCTGCAAGACTTAATCTTCAGTAGATTTAAACTAAAAGTGCTAGGTAAATTTCTTCATATAGAAGGGAAATGATCATAAGTCCTCATATCTGGATACAGACAAAAAAATGAAGAACACTAAAACTGATAACTATGAGGAGTTTATGAACTTTACAAATTATGAACATTACATGTTTATTTACTTTACAAATTATTTTATTCTCATTAAAAGACTTTCACACAGAATATTTGTCAATAACAGTATAAAAAAACAAAAGAGGGGAGTATGAACAATTTTTTAATAGAGAAATTAAAAATACTAACCTAGACTTTCACACCTAGAGTGAATTCTACTTTCTTATTTAGAATCAAATTTACATAATCCAGCCAAAAAATGTTGCAAGTACAAATAGTAACAATGCATGTTAGTGTTCATAAAAATATTACAAGGGAAATAATAAAGATTAGGGTGAAAATCAGTGACATAGAAAGCAAATAAGATTGAGGACAAAACCAAATAATCAAAAGCTGGTTCTATCAGATGAACAAAATTAATAAACCTCTAGACAGAAGGATCAGATGACTGTTACAACCTCAGAAATGAGAATTCCCATTTCTGAGATGGGTAGTGTCAGTACTAATTCTATAGCTATCAAATGGATAATAGGGAACATTGTGGAAATTTTATGCTAATAAATTAGACAACCTAGATGGAATGAACAGATTCCTTGAAGGACAAATATCAAAATTCATGTAAGAAGAAATGAAGTACCTAATAACCTTATATACTAAGGATATAGAGATTCTAGTAAAAAATCTTCCCAAAGTAAACTTTAGGCCCAGTGACTTTATTGGTACATTCTATCTTCAGTTTTTAACAGTTAAAAGTAAATCATGCTAAGTAAAACACATGCAACTATACAGAAAATTTTAAAGCAAAAAATCAGCACATCAGTCTCACAGTTACCCATTTTTGAAACACTTTATATCATTACAGATTATATTCTTTTCCATTCCCCTCTGTAGATGGGTTAAGTTTGAATTGGGCCATGTACTGAATGTCTGTATTCCCTCAAAATTTGTAATTGAATTTTGATTTGAAACCACAGCTCCCAATTGGCTATATTTGGAAATAAGGCTTTCATGGGGGTATTAGAGGGTAGTAAAGTTTTAAGTCTGGAGCTCTAGTCCAACAAGCTTAGTGTCCTTGTAAGAAGAGACAGGAGAAAGATGATGGCCTCTGTCCATCATGTCTGGTAACAGTGAGAAGATGGCCACCTGCAATTTAGGAAGAGAGTGTTCACCATAAACTGACATAGTCAGCACATTGATCTAAGACTTCCAACCTCCAGAACTGTTGGAAATATGCCACTTCGTCTGTGGCATTCTGTTATGGCAATCTGAGTTGGTAAATAGGGATTTTTTTTGTTACTGTTATTACAGAAAATATTGCATTGAAATCCTTATGCAGTTATCTTTGTACACTCATACTTATTGTTTTGAAGTTTAATTGCTGTTATGGAGTTTGCACTTTTAACACCTGGATAGACACTTAACGGTATTTTCTTCTTTAATGGCAGTGCCTAGCTTTGTGCTCAGGTTCTCCACTTGAATGTTATTCTGTAACAGTAAGAACATATTTCCACCACAGCATAAATTCTGTCTTCCTACTTTTGAACAACAGATTATCACATACAGTTATCTAATACTTTCTCCATGAGAGGACTAGTCACATTTCACCCAGAAATGAATTGCATGTGTTATGGTGATGCCTTTACTCAACATTTATCATCCCAGCTGGGGTCAAAGAGAATTGATGTTGCTAACTCTTAAGGTGGAGGAAGGCTCATGAACCAGGAAATGGGAATTGGAAGAAAATGGATTCTTCCCTAATATCTGTAGAAGGAACTCTCCTGCCAAACACCATCCAGTAAGACTCCTGACCTACAAAACTCTAAGATTAATTTGTATTGGGTAAAGCCAGCTAATTTATTACAGCAGCAATAGAAAAATAATACGGCATTATTAATAAACGTATTATGTATATTGGCTTTGTTTGAAAACTTGATGTACATTTGTAATTTGACCAGAAATATGTTGGCACTAGTAATATCTTTCCATGCTGATTAACTAAAATACGCGATTAAATACACTGACCACTATTTGCAGTGTAGTTTTATTCTTTATCTTAAGACCAAAATCGTACATGAGACCTGCATTAAGGGAAACTTATGCTTAAAATATGGTTGTCAGATAAAAATCAGGAAGGCTTGTTAAATTTCATTTAGAAAAACTTGTATAATTGCAAATACTACATGGCACATACACTATTTGCTAAAGTTGCAAATCTAAGGCAGGATAACTTTCGTAACTCATGGCTCAGCATCAGTTGCTTATTTAAAAATCAGTAAGAAATGTCTGCTTCATTGCATTGTTAAATTCAAGTGCAAGTCAATCCACTTAAAGGTACTAAACCTCGCGATTCAAAAGAATGACGGTTAAGGTAAATGAGATTAGGTTGTCCCGTCTGACTGTGGTGGGGACGGGGGTGCTCAACGGGCTCCCCACGCTGGGCACTGGGTTTCGGGGAACTGTGGTGCTCGCCCCACCGCCCTGCCCTTTCATAGCCCAACCAGCTTTAGCTCTAACTCACTTCCGCGAGGTACGGTCGCGTCGCTTTTCTTTCGTTTCTCAGCTTCCGGCTCAGGGACAGCCCCTCTTAAGAGCAACGCCCCGCTGCGGGCATTTTTGAACCTTCCCGGCTTCCGGCTCCAGGCTCGTCACGTGCCTCTCATCACGTGATCGGCGCTCCTGTCATTCTACTGCGGCCGCTCCGGCTTCCTCCTGCCTGTGTAGTCCTGAGCGAAGGCTTGGTGCGGGACTTCTTCATTTTCCGGTATCCGAGTCTCTCACAGCCGTTGAGACTTCCGGACCGGGCAGGAGATAACGACTTGGCTCCGACTTGCCACCCCAACCCGGCCGTGGCGCGGACCACCGCATCCGCCCTGCCTCCTTTGGGTGCGTTATAGGGTCCCTAGGTTTAGCTAAGTTAGGCCGCACTTGGGTGGTTTAGTCTCGGGTGCCAGCCCAAGTGAAGCGACCCCTTGGGATTCTCCACCTTCCGTGGTGCGTGCTTATTCTGCCCCTCCTGCCCTTCAGCCCCAGGTTCCTAGATTTCTTCCTGGCCTGAACTAATAGATTTACAGAACTACGTAGTCTTCCCCTCAGGGGCGAGGACTGTGAGGCGGGGGTAGCAAGGGAATGAAGACGGGCAAAAAGTACACTTTCTGTTACTGGGGTTGGGTGACGACCCGAGTCTGCTGGAGGTTCGAGCTTTTCATGGACCTAGATGACCTTTCTGAAACACCTTCACCTTCCAGGAGATTCCTTTGGGTTCCAGCCTGGCCCGGATAGAGCCTGTTTCTACCAGCGCCCTGCGATTTCAAATGCTCTTGCTTATTTAGGCAGCAAACCTCAGATACAGAGATTAAGTAGGAAACTGATTAGGTCGTTGGAACCCGCAATAGAATTTAGCATATGGTTTGAGCTGCTCTAGTAGCTATGGCTGTGAGCAGATATTTTGTGAACCTTTATTTTGTGTGATAAAATCAGGCTTAAGCTTTTATCTGTAAGGCAAGGAATGATAATTAAAAGCTCAGTATTACAGATTTTTCAACAGATCAGATTACCATTGTTAAATTGTAATTGGCATATGTCCCAAAAGTTTCTCCCAAGTTTGATTTTGAAAATATTGTGAACTTTTGTTGAAAATAGGGCCCAATTGTTTAAGAAGTTGCAGTTTCACTTTGGGAATTTGAATAATTTTAGAAAGCGCTTGTAGGTTTTTCACATGCACTTCAAAATGAAGCTTAGTAATTATATAAGTCAAATAATTGTCCCTGTCTGTACACATAGGATTTTATTTTTTCCTCTAGTAGAAGAGGATAGTTAACCTCAATTGTGTACATTTAATATATTTTTCTAACTTGTATGCCTAGTCTATTTCAGTATGATTTTTGATGTTATAATATAAATGTTTTAAAATATTTTAACCACAATATTAGTTTTAGTAACTAAAAAAAACTGTTCCTGGAAAAGCAAAAACCAGAGAACTTTTTTTTTTACTGCTGCAATAGAAAATTTAATCACTTTTTTTTTTCCACAGAGGACATTTTTAGGGAGCAGGACACAGTGGGCAAGATGAGAAATATTTTGATATGCTTATTATTTAGAATATTTAATATTTAGGTAGAATGCTAGGGAGAATAAAGTGATAATGATGATTATTTAATAATAATGCCTGGTAATCTGGTTTTACCTTGCATCTGAATTGAAGATCTCTTGAAAAAGGTTCAAGATTATAAAATTTAGATGACCAAAATGGATATCCGGGGTGCTGTGGATGCCGCTGTTCCAACTAACATTATCGCTGCCAAGGCTGCAGAAGTTCGTGCAAACAAAGTGAACTGGCAGTCTTATCTTCAGTAAGTACTGATTTTCTATGAATCATGGATAATCATGTGCTTTTCTAATAGCCTTTTTCATGGTCATGCTTCTATGAGAGAAATACTGGAAAATGCTTATGAATGTGGAAGAAAACACTTCCTTTTTAGAAGAACTAGCTCTCATATAGAGAGACTGTGTAACAGAGTAGTGTGGTGAGAACAATCTGGAGTTCTATGAGAGGCAGAGCTGCATATGGGACTTTTGGCCTTCTCTATCTGGAAAGCTGGTACCTTTCAAATGAGTGAAAAACATAGGAAGAATGCGCATAGCTGTGGAGGGATGAAGATAATGAGCCTTCCAGGTTGGCGCAGTATGCTCAATTATAGTAGTGCATACAGGTGGTATTGCAGAATGGCTCAGGCAACTAGTTTCAAGATCTGGGTTTGAAATCTGGCTCTTTTGTCTTCTCACTTGGTGGTCTTCTGCAAATCACTTAACCTCTCTGAGATATTGTCAATGAAGTAAATGTGAAATGGGGGTACACAACTTGCAGGGTTGTTGCTGAAATAATGTGTTTAAAATATTAGCATTGTTGAAATCAAGCACTAGTTTGTTGAATTCACTCAGTAAATTTAACTCTCCCTTTTTTTGGTGGGCATTAAGAATTAGCATATTGTTGTCCTGTATTTATCTGTAAAGTAAGTTTCTCGACCATATTTTGTTGTATTGACTTTACTTCCTATCTTTATATTGGCGAATTATTAAGAAATTTAATTCATATTTGCATATACATTTTGATCAGAACTGAGGAATTTTTAGTTTTATATTTTTGCAGTTTTGTTATTTGAGAGATACACAGTGTACAAAAATTATCGTTTTGCTTTTGTTAAGTTCTCTGATCATCGGACATTTCTTAATCACCTGCCAAGTTTGAGGCATTTCCGGGCTTTAGGGCTACAAAATAATAAACTCACAATCTAGTAGGAAAGTCAGGTATATTTAAAAAAAATTTTATATTAATTGTGAAAATAGAAAGGTGCAAGGGAATGATGGGTGTATAGAAAAAGGACAGCTAATTCTATCTCCAGGAAGTTTTCCATGTTCCCTGAACTGAGTTTAAAAAAAGTTATTAACCATTTTTCAAGAAGAAGCAACCTTTCCAAGTAGAACAGCCAACATAAGGAAAAACAGAGAATTAAAAACAGCATGCTGGGTAGGAAGTAACACATGTTTGGGGGCAGGTAGTGGAGCGAGTAGAAGCTGGAAAGGTGGCCAGAAACCAATAGTGAAGGCACCATATGTCATCATAAGGTGTTTGGACTTGATCCTGTCAGTGGTTCTCAAGATGATTCTTATGATATTAAATCTATTGTTGAGGTGAAGCCTAATGGAGCTCAGAAAGTAAAACAAGTGAAAATGGAGATAGGAATGTATGTTCAGAGCCTTCTTTTGAGACTGTTCACTGTCCTAATTAAGGTTTCAAAGAGCATTTTTTTTTTTTTAAAGATTTATTTATTTGTGCATACAGAACTGGGGTACAGGCCAGAGGTGCAGGGGCGGTGAGAGACTTCACCAGAGACAGAGTGGGAAGCAGAACAGGCAGATCAACGAAGCACACTGCTGAGGGGAGCAGTGGGCGGGTCAGGAGAGGTCTGCCTCTCCATGTGGATCTCCTCCGGGGCAGGCAGGAATTGAACTCATGAGGAAGTGGTTTAAGCTTCTTTGTGTTGTGCTTTAACCCGCTGCGCCACCAGGGAGGGCCTCAAAGAGCATTTTTTTAAACCACTTTATTGAGATATATATTGACATGAAAAAGCTGTGATTACTTCATGTACAATGTAAGTTTGCTGACAAATACACACTTATGAGATCATCACCACAATTTATGCCATAAACCTAACTCAAAGTTTTCCCCACCTTCCTATTTTCATTTTGTTTTACCTTATTTTGTGATAACACTTAACATAAGTTTAGCACATTTTTGATTACACAATATGGTATTGACAACTATAGGCATTTGACATACAATACCTCTCTAGCACATATTCATCTTGTATAGCTGAAACTTTGTGTCCTTTGATTAATACCTCCCCTCAGTCCCTGGCAACCCCATGCTACTCTTTGCTTCTATGAGTTTGACTATCTTAGATTTTTCATGTAAGTGGGATCATATTGTTCTTGCCTTATTTTAGCACAATGTCCTGCAAGTTCATCCATGTTTTGTAAATGGCAGGATTTCCTTCTTTGTTAAGGATGAATAATACTCCATGGACCATAAATAACACATTTTCTTTATTAATCTAACCATAGAGTAGTTGTTTCTGTTATCTTCACTACTGTGAGTTTTGCTGCAGTGAACATGGAAATGCAAGTATCTTTTTCAGATTCTGATTTTGAATCATTTGGACATATACCCAGAAGGAGTATTGCTTCATCATATATGGTCATTCTATATTTATTTATTTATTTTTTTAGTTTTGCCTAATTGGTACTTGTTTTTTTTTTTTATTTTTTAATTCATTCTTTCCTCCCCATTAGGTATATTTTATTTTTGGAGGAACCTCCATGTTGTTTTCTGTAGTGAATGTACTGGTTTACATTTCTACCAAGGGTTTTTTCCTCCACTTCCTCACCAACACTTTCTTTTTTTAATAGTCATTGTAACAGGAATGAGGTGCTGTCTCCTTATGGTTTTGATTTGCATTTCCTTGATGATTTGTGGTGTTGATCACCTTTTCATATACCTGTTGCCATTTGTATGTTTTTGGAAGGAACTGAAATTGTCTGTTCAGGCAGGTCCTTTACTGAGTTTTAATTGAGCTATTTTTTTTTGCTATTTGTTTTGGATAGTAACCCTTACTCAGATACAGTTTGCAGATATTTTCTCCCACAGGTCACTATGTTACTATATTGATTTTATTTCCTTTGGGGAGCAGAAACATTTTAGTTCAATGTAATCCTAGTTGTCTATGTTTTCCTGCTGTTGCCTGTACTTTTGGTGTCATTCAAGAAATTAATTTAAGTCTAGTCCATTTTGCATTGACTTTTATTAGTTGTGTAAGATGGGGTCCGGTTTCATTCATCCCCATGAAGCTACCCAGCTTCACAGAAGCATTTATTGAAGTGACAGTTGTGTATGCTTGGCACCCTTGTTAAGATCAATTGACCATATATACATGGGGGTTTACTTTTGGGGGAACCCAGAAGCACAGTTTTACAATCTCTGTTGTAGGTATAGGAAATCACCAGCATTTGTAAGTGGATGTTGGTTGTTTATATTTGCCATTTGGTTGGATCACTCTGCCAGCATGCGTTTGTGGCTAACAAACCTAGCGCTCAAAGAAGAGAGACTTTTTGATATTTTCACTATTCATTGCTACCTGTGTAATTGTTTAAATCCCCTATGAAGTTAGTATTCAAGCTCTGTTCTCTAACTTTAATCCAGAATGAGTTCAGAACAGAGAACAAAAGGTGTTGTGTTTATAAAGTCTGAAATCTGTTTATAACCTAAATAGAATAATGTTGTTATTAATCATAAAACACTGGCTAGCTGGCAGAAGTTCTCTAGCAGGGACACTTGGAACATGTAGTTACATGGAGCTTTTTCATTGCTTTCTCTTCTTTTCATCCTGTCCTTTGCCTCTGTACTGTGTATGTTTTATTCTCCTTTTTCTTTTTTTTTGGTCCTTTATTCTATTGGATTGTATGAATTTTTTCTTATAAAACCTCTCTTACTTGTAAGTCTATGCAGAAAAATTCACCACATGTTAACTGTGTACCTGCTGTTCATGTGCTTATTGTGGGGACACTAATGGGTGTGGAGCATACCTCCCGTAAAAGTGCTCACAGGTCGTTGGGGACCCGGCATGATAGATGTCTTCTTAGTGAATCTTCTGCCACATCACATGCTAAAAAAATGATATCCATGGAAGAGTTCCCTGGTGTCATAAGGGCAGTATGCTTTATCCTTCAGATTACAATGCTATCATGACAAGGCAGTATTTAAAGTATCTATTTATATTTGATTATTTCTTTTTGTGAATTAACTAGATAGGACATAAAGGAATTTAAATGCTAAAATTTCACTGAGAATGGAATCCCTGAAACTATGTTTGAGGATGTGAGAGTCTAAAATGGCATTCTTTCTTGTGAATTTATAGTTTAATGAAGAAATAAACCTTTAGGTAGCGTTTTAATATTGTGAGTGTTAAAATGAAGACAGATTGCCAGGTTTTCACAAATAATTATCTGCATTCAGAAGCAGGTAAAAAAACCTTTCAAATAATTACATGGAGCCTCAGGAACTTTACAGAACACACAACAATACTAAAGAGCTGTCTAAGCCCAGAAGTCGGGGCTATTGTGCAGGAAGCTCTCTCACCTTGTGGAGGGTTGGGTAATGAGTCTTGGAAGAATGTGCAGGTAGTCTGGGTAATTCCTTTGAGCTGTGAAAGGCCAATTTGTGGCACTTTCATTTACCAGTTTTATAGGGTAAAAATCTGGGAGTTATCTCCACTCTTCTCTTTCCTTTACAACCCATATCCATTAATAAATTCATTAGGCCTGCCTGCCTTCAACACTTGTTCCTTGCAGGTCACTTCCCTTGAGTTCTGCTACTGCTCTAGTGCAGGCTGTGATCATCTCTCATACATCCTCTTCTTACAACTTCAGACTAGTGTCTCTGCTCTCAGTGTTCTACCAGCAATTCCTTAGTTGCAGGAGTTATTTCAAAAAGTAGAAATTAGATCATGTCACCCTGCTCACAGACTTCTTGCTCTTAGCAGGCATTGCTTACTTGGGTCCTTCTACTTGCACTTCTGTCTCTGTGGAACTTACCCTCTCAGGTCACTTGACTCATTAGCCACTAGATTGAGATGTCTAAGTAGATACCTTGGAATGTTACTTCAAGGCTGAGCTACTATAGGTGACCTTAGAGAGGTCTTCCTATAATCCAGTTAAAATTGGTCTTTCTCTGTTGTCACTTTCTTGCTCTTTATGCAGCTTCAGTTATTTTCATCGCATTTACAGCCCTGGCAATATGATTGTATGTATGTAATTTTTTAAAAAGTACTTTTTATGTGTGTGTTTTTTATTTTCCCAATGAATTGCAAGCTCAAAGATGAGTATCTGTGTTGCCTGTTCTTAGAGGTATTTTTCTGGAATGTAGTAGACTGCCAATTAATATGAGTTCATTTATCTATGGTCATACCACTCAAAATGTGCCAGCTGAATCTGTCTGATCTTGGCTAATATTGGCTGCTTAAGTCATGATTAAGTAAATTTCTTGTTGGGAAATGGTGGAGGCAAGGGTTTGCAAAATGATACTTGGCAACATGTGGTTTCACATGGAAAAGAATGTGAAAGGTTCAGTTGTGATGATGCTGAATTTGTGAAAGAGGCATGATGGCAAAGACAGTTGGAGATGGTTTGGGAGAGAAAGACAGGACTCTATTGATTTGAATCTCACTGAATGAAATAATTTGGAAGGGAAAAGCAAGATTCCAAGGATTCAGTCATAGGGAGAAGCCTTGAGCACAGAGCCATTGAATAAGGGAGCCCTGGAAGAAGTAGGGGGACTCAGGGTAGTGTAGGGTCTGCCGGAAGGGTAGGAGGGCATTAGGATGACGAGTGTATTTTTTCAGAGATGAGAAAGATCACGTTTTTTGAATCTTGAGGGAAAGAATATGCAGGAGAAAATGACTGTAGATATTTATACAGTGATTTTGTCTTGATGAATTTGAGGTCAAACAGATTGTCTGGAGAGGGGAGCTAAGGGTGAAATTTTGGATAATACATTTTATTGCGTACTTATTGTGGGCCAGGCTTTGTGCTGATTATCTTAACATTTGATTAACATCCTCGGCATAGCTCCTTAAAGGCAGTAATGGTTATTGCTCCCATTTTACAGATAAGTTAACTCATTTCCAGAGGTTGTACTATCAGTGAGTAAACTAAGCTTTGAACTCAGATATTTTAGATGCCATTGCATCACTCCTTGGCGTTTACAACAGAGAAGAGAGGAGAAAGAATGGGAATTTCCATATTATTTGCTCACTGTGGTGCTTCAACATTGATGAACAAAAACAACTTATTCTTACTTTCTAGGGGGCAGATGATTTCTGCTGAAGATTGTGAATTCATTCAGAGATTTGAAATGAAAAGAACTTCTGAAGAGAAACAGGAGATGCTTCAAAATGAAGGCAGTCAGGTGACTGATGGAAACATGCATCATGAACACTATTCATTAAAAATTCGAGAAACCCTTTTTAATCACTGTGTAATATTCCATTATTGGCATGTGCTATAATTTAACTGAAAAACATCTTTTTACGGGGAGACAGATGAGTGAATTTCAGTTTTCTTTGGAAAAAATGTTTTTTTTTAATGTTTATTCTTTCATTCTTTTCTGTATTTCTGAGAATCTTATAATTGATTCCTAGAGGGAAATTTCAAAGTACATGATGTTTTCAGAGTTGCTTAGCTTTTCCCCCCCTTAGGAAATTCTTTCCACTTTGAATTCTTACTAGAATAAAATGCAATTCTACTGTCCATCAGATTTTTTCACATTTCAGATTTCTTCTGCTTGGCTGAATAAACCCATATTCAGCTCAGTTTGAGTCTCACAACAATACTGAGAATTGGGGAGGAACCTGCAGCTTTTATTGTATTTCAGCGAGATAATTACGTAGTTGAGAAGTAGTAGAATGAATACACGTCAAGGCCTTTGAATTGCAATCCACAGTACCCTTGTTACTCTGGAGTTTTGCTTTCCTGTTTTAGCAAAGCTAAAACCCCAAAACTAAATATAAATTTCAACTGTCTGTATAACTTAATCTTTATGCTCTTGTGGGCAATCAGGGGTTGATAATGATTAGGTCTGTTTAAGAATGGTAAACATTCTGAAATTTATCACTAGAAATAATACAAAAAGTCTGTGTCATATACTTTATAATATTGGTAAAAGGTGTATATTTTTCTGTAGTAGAAATCTTTTAGGTGCTCTTGTATGATAGTAACATATACATGTCTATCTAGGTTTTAATTAGTTAACTCATTAAAATTACTTTTTATGATTTCTGTGAGTAAAATAATATTTTACGAAATCCCATTAAAAATTTTGCAGTTGAAACAGTAATTAACGTTAATTTTATTTTTTCTAGTGTGCTAAAACATTTATAAACCTGATGACTCATATCTCCAAAGAACAGACCGTTCAGTACATACTAACTATGGTTGATGATATGTTGCAGGTAGGTATTCTTAATACATGTGGTGACTTCATCTTTTTGTGTACTGTGCTCTGACAATCCTTTTTGTAAGAGTTTACTGATGGCATTGTTTCTCTCCTAAAATGCAAATAAAATATTTTTCCTCGTTATGTAGTTGTAATTTGCTGAGACAGGTCATTTGATTGTTAAGTTCAATGCCTGTCTATGTCTTAGTCTTGAAGAAAAGAGTGTCTTGCAGGGAATTGTTTTTGGTGATACTATAATGTGAGTCAGGATCAGAATTCAGCCTGGACTGGTGCAGGCCTGTCGGAAAATGTTTTCCATCTCTGGAAACTTTTTCTTTTAAAGAGTTAAGAAAAATGGAGATGGCAGACGTTGGTTATCCGGTTATTGTATAAGACTGCACCTAGAATGAGGAAGCTGTGAGGTTCTCTGCTTACCTTGGGTTCTTACACACACACACACACACACACACACACAAGTGCTCATAAAATATAGTGAAATTTTATACACACCTGTACTGTACTATATGCTACAAAAGTAAGAGCCATGAGTTTTTGCTATTTCCCATTTCATTTAAGCTCAACACCAGATTTTATTGTAATCTCCCCTATAATATAACACTTTTCTGTGATGGTGGAATAGTAAGCTCCTCTTACTCCTTGTATATTTACTTGTTTGTTTTATGTGTAGTACCAAAAATGTGGTTTCAAAGTTGTTGGTCCATATAACTATGAAAACAAGTTCTTTATAGTGTCAGTATTTGTAGTATTTTACCTTTAAATTGAGGGTAGGTTGTCAGAGTACTGTATTCAGGTTTATTCAGAGTTATATATATAGTTACATAGTTATATTTCTTGAAATGCAGTTACATTATTTTGTTTTTGCATTCTTTATTTTTTGCTTATGTGTGTTGATTTTATTATTTTTGACTATGTGAAACATTAATGCTTCCAGAAGTCAAAACTTTGCAAAATGCTACACTCAAAACTTTGCAAAATGTACACCAATCCATATCCCATGTTTATGTACTTCTTGTAGATAACCAATATTGGAGATTTCAGGTTTATCCCTCCTGTTTCATTTTTTGCAAAAATAGATAGCTAAATATGCGTTTTCTTATTTTCACCCTCTTTCATATAAAAAATACATATTGTAATCTCCTGTATTTCACTTAATAAAACATAGCAGAACATATAGCAAGGGAGGGGGGACAAGAGGGGTTAAGTAGGGGAAAGAAGAGCACAAAATATAATGGTGGATCACGGGTGCTATGGTGGTGGGAGAGCTATGGGACTACACCTGAGGGGAGAAACCAATGACTGTACAAAAACAAACAACAGTGTAAGAAAATATAAAATGTGCCAGAAATCATTTCATGTTAGTTATAGAAATGCCCCCATATTCTTTTTTGACAACTATAAAACACGTGCATTACCATAGCAGATATGCCATAGTTGACTTAATCAACCTCTGTTGTAATGTACAGTGAGATTGGTTCCCATATATGTATGTGTGTTTGCGTATATATATATGTAAATATATCTGTATCCAAATTTATGCATAAATATGTATAAATCCACACACAAATGTACTGTTGACTCTTGAGCACTGGGATGGAGAGCTAATCTCTGTGCTGAAAATCCTTCTGTAATATTTGATTCCACCAAGACTTGACTACATTCATCCTTGCTGTCCATAGGGAATTGGTTTTAGAATCCCACCTCACCACCTCATCTCTTCAATACCAAAATTCACAGGATGCTCAAGTTCTTTATTGATATGTCTTCCATATCTCTGGATTTTGTATCCTTGGATTTGATCAATGGACTAGTATCTACCATTAGTTGAATTTGTGAATGTAGAGATGATGGATGGAACAAATAAGTGTTTTGATATAGTTCAAGCTCATGTGCATACATCCCATTTGTTTTTAATGAAGTTTTATTTTTCAAAATATACAATATCTGCTCACTCATGCATTTCTCACCAGCAACTGGGACATCTCTAGCCTTCATGTTTCTGGTATAAGTTACTTGAACTGTGTGCTTTGAAACCTGCGAATTAATTTCTTTACAGAAGTGCTCTTAAAGCATTGCCTTGGCCAGAGAAGCTCCAGTCTTCCATAGGTCAGAGACAGTAGTAGTTGAGCCTATAAGCTTTAGAGTTGGGAACTTCCTTGTGGAGCTTATCATATTTGGTTTTGTCAAATAAGCCTAGGTCATTGATCCAAACTTTGCCTTTGCACTACTTATGTTTTGACCTTGCCCTCAGATTTGTTCACTAGATCTTTGGCTGTCTTATTAGACTTCCTGACATCTTATTTCCTTGGATAACATGGCGTAGCTCATGCAACTGCTATCTGCATCCTTGCTAAGGTGTCAAATAAAAAGTGACTCTAATCTTTTATATTTAGAAATAATGAGGCAAAGAATAACCTTGTATGAATGTATTTTTATATTGTCAGGAGAGTACTTATTGGCAAATTCTGAGAATTGGGATTTCTAGGTAAAAGGGACTATACAAACTACACATTTAGCTTTGTCAAGATACTATGAAATACTCCATTTTGCAGTACCAAACCATAGGAGAGTGGCTTTTCCCCTACTTCCTTGTCCATAGGAGGCACTGTCAAACTTTTCCATTTTTTTTTTAAAGATTTATTTATTTATGCAGACAGATCTTGGCTACAGGCCAGAGGTGTAGGGACAGTGAGAGGATTCACCAGAGACAGAGTGGGGAGCAGAACAGGCAGATGGAAGAAGTACACTGCTGAAGGGAGCAGTGGGTGGGTCAGGAGAGGTCTGCCATGCCATGTGGTCACCTCCAGGGCAGGGATCAAACTCATGCTGAAGTGGCTTTAGCTTCTTAGTGATGTGCTTTAACCTGCTGTGCCACCAGGGAGGGCCCAAACTTTTGCACTTTTACCAGTCAAAATGGTATCATAAGTTGAACATCTTCCTAGCTAGGGATTTGTTTTTTTCTTTCTGAAGGATCTGTTCAGAGATTCAAATTTAAGTAGCTGACATTTTCTTTTACTACCAATTCAATATATTTTAGCATCTGATTTTTTATTACGTACATTTTAGTTACATTGAGAAATTTGGACAACTTTAACTATTTGATTCCTTGTGCTATTTTAAAAATTTTATAGTAAAAATTTTCCCATATTTTTAATCCACTTCACTGTGGCACTTTGAGTAGAATACTTTTGACAAAATTGCTTGTTGTTCTTCACCAATTTGAGTTATAACTTATCTTGATATGCATGTATCTGTTGCTTTGCATGGAACTAGTTGGGCATCTTGAATACTAACCTCAGTTTGGACTCCCTTATTGAGATGGTTTTCAATTCTTTCTTTAAGTAAATTTTCTGTGCTTTTCTCTTTTTATTTTACTGGGACCCCTATGATACATAACTATTTCTCTTTAGGTTGTCCCAGAGGGCTCTCATACTCTAAAAAGTCTTTTAAATTGTATTTTAACTATGTTGTTCTTCTTGTGTGTTCTTTGACATTGTGCTTTTTTTGACTTCGTTAATTCTCTTAATTCTGGTTGTCTGCTTTTGAGGCCCTCTTTGTTCTCTTTTGACTTGATTATAGTATTAGTCCATTACTTCTAATTGCAAGTGCCTTATATTTTCTTGGTCTTTAGTCTGTTCCTCTTTTATTATATCCCCCACTGTATTTTTGAATTCTGTAAGTGATTTCATAACTGTTACCTTGAACTCCCTTCAGTCATGATACACAGTTCTGCTGGAGTGAAACTCCTAGGGTTTTTTCTGTTTTTACACTAGTGTTTGTGTTATGTTCTTATATCTCTTCATTTTTGTCATTAAGGATTATAATAGGGATAGACTTTTAGACTATTGCCTTTGCCCCTATTGAAGTAATTAGAAACCTAGTACTGGCAAGGGGTAGTATGTAAAAAAAGGCCAGGCAATAGGGCACCATAGGATCACCTCTAGTGAGTGTCAGGGATTGAATCTTATATTGTTTTGTGGGGTGTACTGGAGTTGTGTGGTGGGGATTCACAGGGATCCCCGCTGTTAGGCCAGCACTCAGTCTAAGTCTCTCAACTGGTCTTTTGTCAGCTTCCACCTCTAGGCTATTTTTGAGCACTAGATACAATCTGTTCTCAGATTGTATTTGATATAAGGGTCACAGACTGGGAATTGTTTTCTTTTCTAGCACAGAGCCTCATCCTTTGTTATTTATTCCTATTGTTAGCTGGTGCTTAAACTCTGGTTTTTGCAAATTTGCATTTATTCTTTTGTTTTTACTCTTTGGGTAGGGTGGGATGTGTTTTGAATAGCAGCTTCTTCCCTCCCAAGACATTGGCCATCTGATCTGTATTCCCCACTGGTTCGGGCTTCTTTGTTCTGTACTGAGTGCCTCCTGCTCAAGCCAGTAACCCTTACTGGACTCCTGTCCTGCAGTTTTCCCACAGTGTACTGTCTGTCCTTGGTACCAGTTCTGAGTGTCCTCTTACCTAGTGCATTGTGGGGTCTCCTAAGTCCTCAGTGTTGGTTTGGGTCCCTCAGTTAACCCTTCACAGCAGCTTGCCCTCCCTTACTGCCTCAGTAGCACAGTAAGGTCTGCTCACTTAAAGTGTTTGCGTTTCTTTTGAACGGTCGCTCCTAGTGTGTGCTGTGGTCTGTTTTATCCTCCAGGGCTTTTGGCCTTATTCTGCTGCAGTTTAGTTACACATGTAGGAGGAGGTAAGCCTGGGCCTTCACTCTGCCACCATCTTTAGGCTTAGGTTTTAAAGCAGGGACTGAAGAGGAACATGGCTTATTTAAAACATGCAAAGTAGATTCTGCTCTTTACATATGCAGGGTACTTTGTTTATTTCTGTGTATACACAGAATATATAATAAGTACTACAATTTTGTAAATAATCCACCAGTGGAGTGGAGTGATGATGACTTCTCTGAACTTCAAGTTCTTTTATAAACTCATTATCACAACTATTCTAATTATTTATTCTAAATAATGTCTTACTACTTGAGGAAAGGTAGTTTGTTCTCCATATAGGTACTTTTTGGTACAGACCTAAAATTAAAACCAATATAGTTAATTAAAAAGAATTAAATGTTGGTCTGAAAATTTAAATTTTTGCTTACCTGGTTTGTGTTTTCAGACAATACAGTAGCCCCTTTGCCATGATTTCATTTTCTGTGGTTTAAGTTACTTATGGTCAATCTAGTGTGAAAATATTACATGTATATAAGATATTGGAAGGTGCAGAGAGGCCACATTCATTGCTTTTATTACAATATATTATTACACTTGTTCTTTTGTTACTAGTTATCGATAATCTCTTGTTGTGCCTAATTTGTAGATTAAACTGTATTATATATGCACAGGAGGAAACAATGTATACCTACAGTTTTTTACTATGCCTGATTTTAGACATCCATGGAGTTCCTGGAACAGATCCTCCATATGTATTGTTATTTAGGAACCATGTTCACTTAGTGAACCAGAAAATGTATTTCAGCCAGTGATAGACAAAGGAAATTTAGATTGAGAGGTAGAGTTTGCATGACTTGAAGTCAGAATGAATTTTTCTCTAAATCCTGCTAGTGTGACATGCTGTTTTTACTATCTTTATTTGCCCTGATTTTTCTGTTTGTATGGCAAGAATAACCTTGAACATTTGAGTTTCTCTGGTTTCCTGTTTCCCTTGCCTGCTTATAAGTAGTTTGAAGTGCTTTTGTCAATGCTTCTATCTAAAGCTAATCTGTGGTCTGTCTGCCTCTGCCTGAGTTTGTTTGTGTGGAAGCAGTGTGCTCACATGGTTTTATCACTGTGTTGAAACAACACAGGGGACCGTAGGTAGGTCAGAGGTGCAGGTTGAGGAGAAGTGTCACTTAAGGTGCTACAGCTTACAGAGCCGGGACCTGTTATTTTGTCTCACTTGATTTAAACTTATAACATTTTAAAACAAGATTTATTTACTTATGCATACAAGAGCTGGGGTATAGGCCAGAGGTAGGGGTGGGGAGGGAGTAAGTCAGAGCTTTCACCAGTGGGTAGCAAAACAGGTATATGTACTGAAATACATTGCTGAGGGGAGCAGCTGGAGATACAGGAGAGTTCTGCTATTCCTTGTGGGCCAGCTCCTTGGTTAGGGAGTGTGGCGGGTGGGATCAAACTGCAGTGGTTAGCAGGCTGGGCTGATAGCTTAATGGTGCTGTCTTTAACCCCTACACCACCAGGGAGACCCTAAACTTATAATAGTTTTTTTTTAAGATTTATTTATTTGTGCATACAGAACTGGGGTACAAGCCAAAGGCTCAGGGGCGGTGAGAGGCTTCACCAGAGACAGAGTGGGAAACAGAACTGGCAGATCGACAAAATACACTGCTGAGGGGAGCAGCGGGCGCGTCAGGAGAGGTCTGCCACGCCATGTGGTCACTTCCGGGGCAGGCGGGAATCGAACTGATGCGGAAGTGGCTTTAGCTTCTCAGTGCTGTGCTTTAATCCACTGCGCCACCAGGGAGGGCCTTATAATAGTTTTTTTTTTTTTTTTAAGATTTATTTATTTTGTGCATACAGCCAGAGGCTCAGGGGCGGTGAGAGGCTTCACCAGAGACAGAGTGGGGAACAGAACAGGCAGATCCACGAAGTACACTGCTGAGGGGAGCAGCGGGCCGGTCAGGAGAGGTCTGCCGCCCCATGTGGTCACCTCTGGGGCAGGCAGGAATCGAACTCATGCGGAAGCGGCTTTTGCTTCTCAGTGCTGTGCTTTAACCCGCTGTGCCACCAGGGAGGACCGCCTTATAATAGTTTTTAACGGTGTTTTTATTTTTAAAATATCTATGCCCACTCCCATTGCTAGCCTCAATCCATACTAACATTTTATAGACACTGGGAGAAGAAAACACACTGATAGGATATAAAATGAAAGGTTGCATATTGTTAACAATCTTTTGTAAAATGTATTCTAATTGGTGATCTCACTTTTCTTTTTCTATTTTAGGAAAATCATCAGCGAGTTAGTATTTTCTTTGAGTATGCTAAACGTAGCAAGAACACTGCCTGGTCCTACTTTCTGCCAATGCTGAATCGCCAGGATCTCTTTACTGTTCATATGGTAAATTTTTCATTAATCAAATTTCTGATTTAGGAAGGAAACAAAACAGGGCTATTTACATTTTTAAAAGATATTGTCACTGGTAACCTCCCAGTTCCCAGAGGAATTAACTGCTGTGTTGTTGACTTTTCACAGCATTTTTTTTTAAGATTTATTTATTCATTTATGCATATAGAGCTGGGCAAGGGTGCAGGGGCCGTGAGGAGATTCACCAGAGTACAGTGGGGAGCAGAACAGGCAGATCGGCGGAGCACACTGCTGAGGGGAATAGCGGGCAGGTCAGGAGAGATCTGCCTCGCCACATGGGTCACCTCCAGGGCCAGGGATTGAACTTGCACAGAAGCAGCTGTCACCAGCTTGCAGGGCTGCATCCTCACCCGTTGCACCACCAAGGAGGGCCCACACAGCAGTTTTTTTTTTAAAAGATTTATTTATTAGTGCATACAGAACTGGGATACAGGCCAGAGGCTCAGGGGCGTTGAGAGGCTTCAGGAGAGACAGAGTGGGGAACAGAATAGGCAGATTGACGAACTACACTGCTGAGGGAAGCAGCGGGTGGGTCAGGAGAGGTCTGCCACACCATGTGGTCACCTCGGGCTGGCGGGGATGGAACTCATGCGGAAGTGGCTTTAGATTTTCAGTGCTGTGCTTTAACCCGCTGCGCCACCTGGGAGGGCCACACAGCAGTTTTTTAAATTGATGTTTAGTAATGTGGGGGATACTGGGAAGTCAAGGAAGATAGAATTTGCCTGAAATGGCATAAAATCAGTTAGTCTGAAATTGACATAAAAACATGTTTAAACAGCTTTTGATTGTCAGTGACAGGATTAATTGAATTTGACCTCAGAAATTAAATTTTCTTTGAAGCTGCAGTGTTTAATTTTTTATTTTAGTTAAGTAATATTTAATTGCTTTTTAATAGTAAACACACTCCTGTTTTAAAGTTAGCGTTGGGGCTGTTTTTTGAGAGCTTTACCACTGAAAATCTTTTATGTAGTGTGGAGAAATTATTAGAAGAGGGTTGAGAAACTGAAGTTTTGTACAAGCTTTTTCTATTCCGAGAGTGGAGTGGGCTTAGTGGGGGAGGCCCTGAGGCTGCTCCTTTCTGTGGCTGCTTTACATTTTTCAAATCATGAACCATTTCCCATGAAATATTTTTAAAGACCAATAATACCTTTTCTTCCTTTAAATTGTTGAGGCTTTTTTTCATTGTATATATCTAATTTAAATATCTTCCTGATATTGATTGTTTTATAATAAAATTGATAAACAGTAATCAAGATCAAATAAACATTTGATGCAAGCTCAGGCTGGGATCAAACTCATGCTGAAGAGGCTTAAGCTTCTCAGTGCTGTGCTTTTACCTGCTGTGCCACCAGGGAGGGCCTCGAATACCTAGTTTAAAAAAACATAAAGATTTTTAAGTATATATTTTAAACAAGTTTAAGATGTGATCACTTACAAGTAGCTTGAAGTGAGGATGTATAGTGGTGGCGAGACTTTTTTTTTTTGGTAATTTGATGAAAGCCTGCCTCTTAAGAAAACTTTTTGTATTGGATTCTTGCTCGTCTTACTACTTTTGAATCCCAGAAAAATACAGGAGGGTCATGAAATTCTTAGAACACAACTAATTTTGTCTCACTCTAATGGAAATAATTTAAAAAGATGTCGCTATTTTAAAATATATTTTAAAAATGAAAGATTAGCAATTTTATAGAATTGTTAAATCATTTGGCAAATAGTTTTGCGTCTTGAATTTTAAGGTATATGATGTGATTTATCCATAGTATTTTAATGCATTCCTTATTTTTCAGGCAGCAAGAATTATTGCCAAGTTGGCAGCTTGGGGAAAAGAATTGATGGAAGGCAGTGACTTAAATTACTATTTTAATTGGATAAAAACTCAGCTGAGTTCACAGGTAAAAGACATTTCTTTTAGAATCTTTAGAAGGAATAGCATCCATATTCTCTTTTAAGCTATTTATGGTAATTATTTGAAATTAAAAAAAATTCATATTAAAATCATGCCATTTGAATTTGATAAGTAAGACTACTTTTAGGAATGGTAGTATGCTTGCTTTTTCTTTGACTGTATTCAACTCAATGTCTTTTCTGTCATTTGAGAATTTCTTATTTCTGCTTTTGAGTGGGTAGAGAGTATCTTTCTTCCAGGTGGCTGCTGAGATTACACAGGTCGGAGAATTAAAAGGACTCCAACAGTTCCAAAGAGCATATTTATTCAAGGCTTGTAATAAAGGAAGAGAAACATTCCAGCAGGAGAGAAAAGGCAAGCTTTGGACTGAGCAACTTTCAGGCATGGTTTCCATGGACTATGAACCACCCAAGACTTGTGCAGGAAATCTTGGTTTTGGGAGAGTTTTCCAAAAGTTGCTAGTGGGAAACTCCTGATCATGTATCCAGGCCATGCTGTATAATTAGTTACACCAGTAAAGAACCTGGTTCAAATTTCAAATTATAGATTGTAAGTAATCCATTTACCCTAGTCTTGACAAAGATTCTGAACTTGTCTTCCAGCACACTTAGGTAAGCCAGGAGCTGTTTGGTCCAGCTTTCACAAACTGTCTCACACAGTGACATCTTCTCAGGGTTTCACTGCATCTTGGGGAGATTGAAGCCTAATCATTAAGCTTGCTCATTAGTTACTTTGGTTGCTTTGAGGCTGCTGTAACCATACTTCTCCATGGAGGCAGGTAACTTGCTGATTTAACAGTTGGGAAAAGGCAATTTTTCTGTTTTGTTGCCATGGCAAAAGATCTGACACTCGGCTAAGTGGAGTGTTCCTTTATTTTATGCTCCAGTGGAAAGCATTAGGTTCAACTGGGGGTGGGTGGGTGGGGAGACTTGATGGGAATGATATTTAGAAAAGGAGTGAATGAAGGTGTGTGGGAAGAGTATTCTGGGAAAGAAAAGACTATGAGATAGTTTGGTATAGGATTGGTGACATGGCAAAATGGAACCAGAAGTAATGTTGGTCATTACAATGTTAGTGTTAGATTACAAATAAATGTCTATTGGAAATAAATTTTTGTAATTTAAACTTCAAATTTAATGTTTTCTTAGATTTTATATTGAGGCATAAGAGACCCATGATGACATTTTGCTAAGATTTTTTTTTTTTTTAAATCTTGTCACTGCCTGCCTTTTTTGATGGGAGTCTCACTGATTTTTTTTTTTTTGTTCTTGGATTAGGATATTCTAGCACTTGTTTTGGCTTACATTTTAAAAAGTATTTCACAGGAACCACACATTTACAGATATTGCTGAGTTTTTGAGGTGTTTCAACATAAGATATTTAGAGCATGAAAGAATGGGTGTGAAGACGAGATTTAAACTTTCTCAGTATCATTTGGGTTCAGAATGCTTACTAGTTAAATAGTTAAACTCTTCTTCCCCTCACCATTATTATTATTTTTTTTTCCTATTTTGAAGTTTTTCCTTTGAACAGATTACATTCTGCTTTCATGCATAGTGGTAATGAGGTTCTTCTGTAGCTGAATTCATAAAATGAAAATTTCTTGGAAAGATACTGTAGTTTACCACTACCACTAAGATCATGGGTTGTATTTTCATCACAAACTTTTCCTCATAAAAGAAACATTTATTTTGTGCCTCACAGATGATTTTTCTCTTTTGGAACCATTAACTATCTTTGTAGCCATATCCACCAATTGGGGGAAATATATCTCTTGTCAGTAGCTGAAGGAAATGTTTCAATGTGTAGGACAGTTTATATTAGAATTGAGCTTCTTGGTATTAGATAAATGCTCAAAATATGTTCTATATCTTCCTAGCTCGTTCTTTTTATCGCACCATCAATGATTTTTGTTATGGTGTGGCATTTCTGCTTTGCAAGTCCTTCTGCTACAGGTGACTTCAGGCTGTTGGGTTCATTCTGGCTTTGCTTCTCAGAGTCTATTCACTGCTTCTGCTGGGCTCTGGATCACACTATCTTACTGTGAAAAGACATGTCTTCCATGGTGTTTTATCAGGATTATATTACAGAGTTCTTGTTTAAAGAATGAAGTACAGGATCATTGGTGATTTTTACTTGCTGCTTAGCTTAAATATTCCGTGATAGTTCTCTATTTGGCTGGCTTCTTTGTCTCTTAGATATTTTCTCTGTCCTTAAAAGGGACAACATTTACAAGATTCTAATGAAAATGAGCTATCAAAAATCCAACTTAGCAGCAATTTTGGGTATTTTATTCTTTGACTTTATAGTGAAATTTAGGAGTGTTTGGTAGTTTTAAGATTGTTCTTAGGTTACGGGGGCACATGCCTAGCACTTACTATTTAATTATTGAAAAAAATCAAAATTTCCTTTTAGAAATTTATTCATTTTCACTCTTCTCTTGTACATTCAGCTTCTGATTTTCACTCTTAACTTTTCTTTGATCATTTCTTTACAGTATATGAGATACATATACTGTACTTTTACGTATATGAGTATATGAGATTTGATACTATAACTTGTTCATGTCGCTGTGGATAACCTAATTTTAGGTTTTGTGTAGTATCTTCCCATCATCAGGTACCTGTTTTGAACACTTTACGATGGAATATAGTATAGATGGCTCAGCTTAAGGCAGTGTCTTTTTGGGGAAACAACTCAGTAGGTAACTCCTGAGACCTGGAAATTTGTACTAGCTTCACTTATGAATTTAGCTAGAGCCTAATATTCAACTTATTTCTGTTTCAGTTTAAGTAATTTATTGATTAAGTTATTATCTGGAACACCATAATGATATTTGGAATATTTTATAACATCCCTATGCTTTTTACTAGTTGGTGGTACTTTGTTAAATAGGATTAGGGAAAAGATTATAAAATATAATTAACTCCCATACATAAGCTGATAAATTAGAATAAAATTAAAAACAAAACTAAGTAATAAGTTATTTATTTCATAATAGAAACTGCGTGGTAGCGGTGTCGCTGTTGAAACAGGAACAGTCTCTTCAAGTGATGTAAGTATATTCCTTCTTAATTTGCTGATCTCCTAACATTAACATCCTAAATATAAATTTATTTTTGAGTTGTGGACTTCTACAGTTTTGAAAGTGTTTACTAGTTCCCCAAATGTAAATCTATGAAATTGTTTTCATCTCCAGTTGGATTAATGGTATAATTAAAACTACATAAATATTTGTTTTGTGATGATCACTTTTTCCTGTTGGTAGACATGAGACTTGGCTTTTCCTGTTCTTTTTTTCAGGCCCCTTGAGTAATAAACTATAGAAATGATCCCTCAAAGTATAGTTTTGCCATTGTAGAATCAAAACCATAGTCTGACTTCAGATGTACTAGAACAAGGTGCTCTTTGATTTCCCACCTGCTTTCTGTTGGTACCCTTGAAATCTGAACATATTCTCAGTCTCTTTCTTGAAGGTTCTTTTTCAGATAGCTATCAGCTTGAAAAGTAGCCTTCATAAACTGAGATTAGTCTGTTAGCCCTTTCTTTGATAGTTGTAGTAGAAGAATCAACGGGTAGTTAATACTTATTGAATATTTACTATGTGTATAGTACTGTTTTACTCATTTTATCTTTATATATCTTTGAATATTCTTACTTGCTTTTTGACAAAGGTCTTACTCATGGTTTATGAGTTAGTTGTGCAGAAAGGTATTTTAGCTTGTTGCAGGTAATAAAGCTAATGAATGGCAAAACCTCCTAAGAAATTAATTGCTTACTGAGAGAATTATTTTTGAGGCAGCTAAACTGGAGTATTATATCTTTAGGTTTTCTTCATGTCACAAAGCCTATTCAGGTTTAAAGAAATATTTTATTGTATCTTAAAATTCTTTTAGGTTGTCAGAACTATTTGGTAAGCTGCATTATATGATACTGCCACTTGATGTCAGTATAGACGAAAGTTTTATGCTGCAAAGTGAGAAAAAGGCATGAACCAATAGTTCTTATCATTTAAAATGACCAACAAAGTATCATTCTAAGTTCTAAACGGACTATTACATTTGTAAAATAATATCAAATTATAGGTGCTTACTATAAACTATATGCTTCTTTACTGGCTCTTCAGTGTGAATTGTCAAGTTTCTTTTGTTCTGAGGAAGCAGCACAGCCCAGGAAGTAGATTGTTGAGTAGATGCCCTGACAAGAAACTTTGGAGGGTTAGTGAGAATGTGGGATTTCTTTTCTGGTTTGTTTTTCTTTCTCCTCTGCCTGGTTTGTTAGATATGTGGAAGTTGACCTGTCCTGTTCTCTATTTTTGTTGTAGACCTTGTTTCACATTAATTATTGCTAGATAGATGTCGGAGACTAGCTCCAACTTTTGAGGTGTCTGGAGGCAGCACAGGCAGGACCCTAAGATGGGAAGGCGTCGGTGAGCAGAGATTCCAAAAGGGGAGACAGGAGCGGGTGCGAGGAAGACACGGGAGTCAGGATAGGTTGCAAGTCTTCATCCTTCCCCTTCGGTAGGTCTTTATTTATACTGTGTAATAAGTGGTTAATTGTAATAATGTATAGGGTAAGTTAATGAGATATCTCCATAAAACATTCTCAAGGACAAGGGGAAAAAGCATTCTTTTCTTAACAATTTATGGTATAATAGATTATACATTTTGTGATAGTTATCATGTATACAGCTGTCTAGTTATCACTCAAAGGAAGAGGGGTCTGGAAGGGGTGAGCTTGTTAGCAAAAGGTTGTTAGGGGTCTTGGGGTAGTAATAAATTGTATTAGCAGTGTTATCAGTGCTTGTTTTAAAAAGGAGTAAATTAAGAGAAAGTTGTACAGTTGTATATGAAACAACACCTGTGTAGTCAAGGTTAAAATTTGTCCATTATGCCCTGGATGCCTTATCTGAGGTTTGCTTTTTTATTTAAAGAAACCAAGGAAGCTTCCCAGGAGTTTTTATGTCCTGGGGTCTTATTTCTCCTGGGGCTTGCCTTTTGTCTCAGGAGACAGAGGAATTTCTCCTCCTGGGGCAGCTTGCCTGAACCAGGCAGCCGCCTGTGTGGCTAAGACAATCCAGTTATAAACTGAATGTTGCTCAGAATATTTTGTTATTATGTTTATACAAAAAAGGGAGGTCATAACATAAGTTAGCAGTGGACAGTCTGATTTTCCAGAACTTATCCCAATCTACCCGGAATCTGTCAAGACGATGGACGTTGCATAGCTTGTGTCAGATAGATAGTTTTATTAGTGATAGGTAACTTAAGTTGTTAGGTTCTCCTTATTGCTTATTTTTATCTTGCCTTTTAATGTTCGTAAGCAGTTCTGTCTAATAGAACATTCCATAGTGATGGAAATGTATTATATACCTGTCCTTTGTGATGGATACTAAACACTTAGAAATGTGGCATGTATGAAAGAGAAGGTAAATTTCCAGTTTTGCTTGTTTATTTTACAAGATGTATTTTTCATGCCATAAAATCCATTTATTTCTGTAGGTTTTAGTATATTCATAGAAGTGTGCAACCATTTCCACAATCTGATCTTCTTAACATTTTGAGTATCTGAAAAAGAAACACACTAATAGTCATTCCCCATCCCTGCTGCCAACCAAGGCAGCCACTTTGTGTCTTTGGATTTGCTTCTGGGTATTTCTTATGAATGAATCATATAATTATAAATAAATCACATGATTGCCTATGAGTATCTATTTTCACTTAGCATGATATTTTCAAGATTCACCATTTTTAGAATGAGAGAAAAAACTTAACTTTTGAAAAATTTTTCACCAAATTCCTGAAATGTTTTTCTGTGGCAGTAATAGCTTGTTAATGTGCCATTGACTTTACAGCTTTGCTTTTAATTTAATTGTATGTAGTACTTTTCAGTCTTTTAAAAAAAGTGGAATCTTTTTGAAGAAGTGATTTAGTTCTTTACTACTTTGTTGCCAAGTACATCAAAAGTAATCCCCAGATAGCAGAGTAAGTGAACTGTGGCAGTGATTCGTACAGTTCAGGCCTGTTTATTTAAGTGTAGTTTTCTCTGTCTGGTGAGTTGTAAAGTCTGTGAGAATCCAAAATAATTCAGTTACATTGTTTTGTGTAAGCTTTAAGAACATTGTTATTTACCTAAACCAATTCTTGGATGATTTTCATTGTTCACTTGCTTTATACCTTACTAAAATCTTTAACACACTGAAAATATTGAGGATAAGTACAATATATATACAAAATGAATGCTAAAAAGAGGAAATAGAAAAGTTTAAGTTTTAAATTTTATGATCAGAAATTTGGAAGGATTGCTTGGAGAGGCATCTGGCAATGCAAAAGAAAATTAAATGGTAAAGTATTTTACTACAAGATTTTCTTTTACAGTCATTATCAAAGCATAGTGCTGATAATAATAAGGTTGCTTTAGATGTGTTCTTAAAAGTTGTATGTAAAGCAGTAATTTATAAAGTAAATCATACTTTAAGTCCATATTATTTTTGCCTCTAATAAAGAATCCCAGTAGTCATATAATTGAGCTATATGCCTAAGCAAATTCAATTGAAAGTAATATTTGAAGATTTGTAAATTTTTTTTTATTTGTTTATACAGAACTGGGGTACAGGCCAGAGGCTCAGGGGTGGTGAGAGGCTTCACCAGAGACAGAGTGGGGAGCAGAACAGGCAGATAGATGAAGTAACTGCTGAGGGGAGCAGCGGGCGGGTCAGGAGAGGTCTGCCACGCCATGTGGTCACCTCCGGGACAGGCGGGAATTGAACTCATGGGGAAGTGGCTTTAGCTTCTCAGTGCTGTGCTTTAACCCGCTGCGCCACTAGGGAGGGCCGAAGATTTGTAAATTTTTAAGTTAATAATGAAATTACTTTTTCTGTAAGATTGCATCTTCAGTTAGATATCATTCAATCTAGGTATTTTATAAATATTGATTAGAGGATCCCTTTTAATATGCCAACTTCAAGAAAAGTTTTGAGCTACATGTTTTATAGTTCCTTAATATGAGATGGTAATATGGCCCTCCCTGGTGGCTCAGCGGGTTAAAGCACTGCACTGAGAAGCTAAAGCCACTTCCACGTGAGTTCGATTCCCGCCTGCCCCAGAGGTGACCACATGGCGTGGCAGACCTCTCCTGGCCCGCCTGCTGCTCCCCTCAGCAGTGTACTTCATCGATCTGCCTGTTCTGTTCCCCACTCTGTCTCTGGTGAAGCCTCTCACCGCCCCTTAATCTCTGGCCTGTACCCCAGTTCTGTATGTACAAATAAATAAATCTTAAAAAAAAAATATGAGGTGATAATAATCATAACTTACAATGTTTTAGTGCTTTATAGAAACTGATTTTAGTTACTTCCATATTTTAAAAAATCTGCTACTGAAATTAGTATTATTTTCCTTCATTGATAATAAAGCAAGTTTAAAAGCTTAAGTGATTTGCTAAAGATAATTTAGCTGAACTTTTGTGATTAGTAAAATCTCTCTTCTAAACCATTTTATGTGACTATCAACAAGGCACGTGAATCCCATTTGTTAATACTTGTTCTGTGATTCAATGTGTGGTCAGTCCTGGACAGTGTTCCTTGTGCACTTGAAAAAAAATGTATTTTCTTCTTTTCTGGGATGTAATGTCTTATAGATGTCTATTAGGTCCTTGCTGTCTATTCTTTGCTTAATGCTATTGTGTCCTTACTCGTTTTCTGTGTCATTGATCTGTCTGTTGGTGAGAGGGTTGTTGAAATCTTCTACCACAAATTTATTTTTTTCAGGCTTGAAAGTAGTTCCCAAATATATTTTGGAGCTCCTTTTTTTTTTTTTTAAAGATTTATTTATGTATATGAGAACTGGGATACAGGTCAGAGGTGCAGGAGATGAGAGAATTCACCAGAGACAGAGTGGAGAGCAGAACAGGCAGATCAAGTAAAATACACTGCTGAGCGGAGCAGTGGGGGTGGGTCAGGAGAGGTCTGTCATGCTATTGGTGCTTCTTTGTTTGGTGACTATATATTGATGAGTATTATAGCTTCTGGATGTATTGTTCCCCTAATGATTATATCATGTCTATCCCTGTCTTTTCTTACCTTTTTTTTAAAACAGGAAATCTGTTTTGTCAGATACAAGCATGCTTATCTCCACCTTCCTTTGTTTCCCATTCACTTACAGGATTGTTTCCTAACACTTTTTCTTGAGTCTTGATTATTTTTGAGCTCAGATGTGTGTCCTGGAGATAGATGAAAGTTGAATATCATTGGTGATATTGATCAATGATATTTGAAACTCTGTTGCTGTCCTTTGCCCTTTATTTTTTTTGGTTGTATCTGTTTCCTTTTTCAATTCTTTGTGTATATTTTGCAATTTTTGCTTAGATACTGAAGTTCCTTTCATTATTTCTTGGGGAGGAGTGTCTAGTTTTTGCAAACTCTCAGTTTCTGTTTGTCTGAGAAGGCCTTTTATTCTTCCTCATATCTAAAGAAGAGTCAAAGCAGAGTATTCTTGTCTGGCTGTCTTTTTTTTTTTTTTTTTTATAATGTTCTATTCTCTCCTTACCTCCAGTGTTTCTTCACAGATGTTTGATGTTTTTCTGACTGGATTGCTTTATAGGCTAACTACTTCTTGCCCCTCACTGACTACAATATTTTTTCTTTTTTTGAGTTTTTAGAAGTTTCACTATTATATGTCTTGGTTTAGAGCTCATTTTATTTAGGTACTCAGCTGTTGTTTTGCTTCATAGATTTGTGTATTTAGTCCCTTCTCCAGTTTCACATAAATAAGTTCTCTATTCCTTTCTCTCTTCCCCTTCTGGAATACACATTATTCTTATGTTACCGTTATTCATGGTTTTGGCTGGTTCTTGAAGTGTTCTTCCATTTTTTCCCTGTATTTCTCTTTTTCCCTCTTCTATTGCTTCATTGTATATTTAGGTTTTCAGATTCACTGGTTTTTCTCTTCCAAGTCTACTTTCATACCTTCTACAGTATGAAATATCTTTTACAACCTGCAGTTCTGTTATTTCATATTTAGACTATTAATTCTTCTGATTTTATTTTGAGGGCATTAATGTTGTTATGTTGAATTTTCTTAAACCTCTTGGATCCACTTTTCTGTGCTCTTCAAATTTCTTTATCATGGAATTTTTGAGTTCCCTTAGGAAGAATCAGTTTTTAGTTTCTTTTTGCTTGGGTTCTGGGAACTTATCTCTTTCTGTGGTATAATATTCCCCTCAGGACTCATAAGGCCATTTGTTGAGTTTTTCTGTCTACTCATTCCTTGTCATGGCCATACTTCTGTGGGTGGAGCTTTTAGCTGGTCAGTTTTCGCCCATGCTCTTGGCTTGGAAATTGTACTTCTGCCTCTTACACATTGAACTGAGTTTGGTATTTGGGCTATACCTCTTTGTGTGAAGGATATTGAAATTTCTTGCAGTGGAGTTTTAAAAAGAGCTACATATCACTCAGGATTTCTACACTGTTGCACAGAAATTCTAACTGCTTTAGTCTTGTGAAGGGTAATGAAGGGTATTGAGTAACTTATTTATTCTGCTCTCTACTGATTGGATACACAAAACATCTCCTGTAAAATTGAGGTCATTAAAAATTATGTACGCAAATAGCAGCATTGCTCCATAATATTTGACAAGTCATACCTCCAGTTTATGACTACATTTAATAATACCTAATTATATAGGCACCCTCCTTGGGGGTTCTGAGCATAGACATTAAGGGGATTCATAAAGAGGTTATCTGAGAAAAGGTGATACTCTGCTACAACTCAGAGAGAAAGCTTAGAGAGTCTCTTCCTTATTTGATTCTTTCATGTGACATTCCTGTTTCGGAGGAGCAATATTTTATCAACTCAAATACTACTTCATCAGTTTGGTGATTCTCAATATTGTCATGTAAAATAGAGTGTTTCTTTGCCTTTCAGTTCTTGTTTACTTTGCCTTTATATGAAATTGTGTGACATTTGAGGATTTTCTATCAGCAATTATAGCTATTTCAAGAATACTTTTCAAATGTCATAGTGTCTGCTAATAGAATAGGAAATACTAACAAAAGGAAAAATACACAGCAAGCAAAGATCAAGGTTGGTGATTGCACTGACTTGTTTGGCATATAGGGAGACATTCCTATGTCATAATAGAAATCAACTTACGGGAAATGATAATATAAAATTTGGAGCTGTCTACGTTTGGTCCTTTTCCTAAAAATCTTGATAGGTGTAAAACAAAAATGACTTTAGTTGGACCAAATACATCACAATACTTTCTGTTCTACTGTTTTCCTTCTAAAGCCAAATGACAAATTAGCCAAAAATAAAGGTCAAATGGAAGAATAATTATTCAGTAAACAAACACTTTTAAAATGCTGCTATTTACTAGGATTGTGCTTAAGTGCTGTGATAAAAATACTAAACTTTACCACATTTTGGTCTATTGGAAATTATTCTTTCCCCCTTTATTCAGGTAACATTAGTTTACAAAAGTAGATGGGGAAATAGATTCACACCTCATCAGATGCATGTTTCCACTCTACAAATGGAGATGAGTGATAAATATGTGTTACACACACAGACACACACATAGTACAAGTGTAGAGATTGGTATGTGATACTATGGAAGTTATTATTTCCATTGGAGAAAACAAAAAAATAATAGATGCAGCCGCAAACACTTGGTGGATATTACGTGACAGGTAATATTGAAAACTTTCAAACATTAATGAAATTATTTGCTCACACTGTAGGGTTTGTCCTATTAATCTGCTTTGTAGGTAGGAAGTTTATTCAAAGTTAAATAAATTATAAGTGGCTGAGTGTGGTAGATTAGTTTCTAGGATCTTTGTTCTTAACCATTATGCTATGCTGCTGTATTTCTTTCACGGTGAGTAGATCAACCTTGGATGTAAAACTTAGAGCATGTGAGTCAATGTAAATGGAGAATACACAAAGGGAGAGTTTAGTAAATAGTTGGAGAGAACTGGCCACTTCTCAGGTAAAAATAGCTGTTGGAACTGGTAATTAACATCACTGGTAATCTTGTCATTTGCTGTATTAGTGGCGTGGTAAGATAGAAGACAGGTAAATGTTTGGTGATAAGTACTGGGGTGAAGAAAGATGCAGTAATGGGGATAATTTTAAGATGGGAAAGGATTGAGTATATTTAGAGGCTGGGGAGAGGATTATCATCAAACAAACAAACTGAAGATGAACTGGAGGGGTCTGACTGATAGACATTAGGTGGGAGGAATGGGATACAGACCCTGCTGGAGCTGTGCCTCCTGGGTAGGGAAAGGGCTGAGTATCTTTTCTCGGTGAAAGGTAAGAATGGTTTTAAAATTAATTTTAAAGGAGGTGTGTGAGATGCTGGTCCTGACCTTTAACTAATGGTCACTTTTTATCTCTTGCTGGGAGTGAAAGAAGAACTTTTTCTTGATAACTTTTGATTATTATGGCAATTGTACATTCACTATTGTGTTTTTGTAAGTTTCAACAAACTTTGTTTAAAATTAAAATGAGCTTAATAGCATCATGTATATTAGTTTTTGTAAATCGATGTAACATCAGCGATTCTCCATTTTCTTTTATAAATTAGTATGTTCTTTTCTTAAGGGTAATATGAAATTTCTTCTTATCTTGTCGTTTCTGGTAGAAGTAGGCTCCTTGTAAATTTTACTTTAAAAGACCTAGCTTTGGTAAAATGGAGGAGCCAGTGACTTTCTGGTGATATTCTGGTTTATTCCAAGATTTAGATTTAATCAGTATTTGACTAAGACTGTGCTTTTGGACTAACAGTTTTTAAAAATCAGTCTTTTCTAGTGTTAATTAGGCTTCTTATATGCTGTATAACTTTTTCTTTAAAGTTCCCATTTCTACGAAATGGCTTGTATGTGCTAAATGAATTCATTCATTTAATTCTAAATTCCTTGAGTATACTTGGGGATGTTATCCTCATTAAGAACAAAGATACTAAGTACAAGAAAGGTCCAGTAACTCACCTAAGTCCATTAAAATATAGGTCTGCCTCAAAGTATACACTTTTCTCTTATTTTCTTGTTCTTTGGTATTTCTATAATTGTGATGAGCTCTATTCTCTACACTAAGCGGTAAATAAAGCATTGAAAAGTATTGCTACTTACCAAACAATATCAAGGAATTAATTTTTTCCTTTTTTCTCCCTAACTGTGTATGTCAAGCAACCTTGAATTGTGTAGGCTTAGTTTGGCAGAAAAATCAGCTTCATTTTGATAGATAGGAAAGCAAGAGTAAGTTTTGACTTTTAATATTAAGAAATTTTGTTGTTCTGATAAGAAACATCAGTAAAAGTAAAAGCTCAGACTTTTCAAACATGTACCATCTTTGACTAAACTTTGTCTTCCTTCTTGCATAGAGCTCTCAGTATGTGCAGTGTGTTGCTGGGTGTCTGCAGCTGATGCTTCGGGTCAATGAGTACCGCTTTGCCTGGGTAGAAGCAGATGGGGTAAACTGGTGAGTCCCCTTTTACTTTTAACGTATAGTAACATCTAAGAGCATCTCTCCTTGACATTTCAAGGAAGTTAATGCATGTAATCATCTAAAGCAAGTTTTTTTTAAATGTCTGCTAACCTTCACAGAAGTCAGTGACTACCAAACTGAGTATTTCCTCTCTCTCTTGCTTGGTCTGTTATTATAAAAGGTCAAGGATTCCTAACATTTTAATGCTTGACAGAACAAATTCTGGATATTCAGAATGGAAAAATAATTATAGATGTCTCTTATGTAAATACAGGCAAAAATCATTTGTAGTGTGAATATAAACTATTTGTAATGCTATGTAGTTAACCCATCCTTTGTTGGTTTTCATATGCAGATGTCAAAAGTTTATAGGTTTAACAAACTTATACAAACAGCCTAAATTTTTTGCTTGTATGTAATTTCTTAGGGTTGGTAATTTATGTGAATGAATTGTCATGAATTATTTAATAATCACTGACTCAATAAATTAGTAATCTTATATTAATATGCAAAGTTCAAGTATAAATTTTGTTTAAATAAAGTGTATATAATTATATTCCATAGAGACATATTTGTTTATATTTAAACTTTGCATATTTATATAAGATTATTTTTTAACCCTGTTAGCATGATTTGCCATCTATTATGAAAAATTAATGGAATTAAGAATAAAGAGTTAGAGAAAAGCAGCATTAAGAAATTTTAATTAGAATTTATATATAGCAAACATTTTTGTTATACATGGATTTTGATGCACAAATACCATAAAAGTTGAAAGAAAACCATCACATCTCCTTTCAGCAAAATATAATGGTATAATGGTCCTGGTTCTTTTTGTAAATATTGTCTTTCATGTTGAATATCTGCGTAGGTGAGCATGCCATATTTTCTTTTTGCTTTTAGGAATATGTTGCTTGCTTACTGATTTTTGAGTTTGAGTAAATGCACAGTAGTCATTTGAAGACTCACATTCTGAGAATTCACTTATATACTTGACCATCTTCTGATTTACCTAGTATGTGCAAATTGCTTTCTCCAAGTAATTACCATTGCAGGCAGAAAATAAAATGTTCTATATCTTCTGATTCAGCTTGTAGCTATTCTCATGGCTAAACTCTATTACAGAAACAGAATAAGGATATACAACTGCTCACAGGCATATTCACACAGACTGAGTCAGGGAATCTGTAAGGCTTTTTATGCTCTCTCCTTTACATCATGGAGTCAACAGCCCATCCTTTCCTTAGCATCAAAAATATAGCAACATTTGCATGAGGTTTTCACATGGAAACCCACTAGACACTGAGGCACCCTCTGACTACTGTGCAGCAAGTTCCAGACTCCAGGGGGAAAGCATGTATTCAGCAAACATGAAAGAATATTGTTCTGGTTCTTCGTTTAGGTAGAGTGAGTCACCCTTACATTCAGGAAAAGTTTTGTTAGTGTAGAGAATTGTTACTAGTCAAGGTCCCTTAATCCAGCCAGGGGCCAGCTTTGCAAGCAGCGCTTTCTAAGGATACAGTTGTAGGGCTATGATGTTAATTGTCCTTTACACAAAAGCCTAAAGATAGACTGCAAAACTGCCATTCTGTCATTTTACTTTCTTGAGAAATGGTATTGTAGGCAGTATAATAAGAAAGTATAATTATTTTACTCTTTTTATTTTTCTAATAAATGACATTTTCATTGAGTTATAATTGACATAAAATGTGAGTTTCAGATACACAACCTAATGATTCAGTATACACATTTGTTAGGGAGAGGATCACCACAACATATTGAATATGTAACCAGTTACAACTTTTTCCTTTGTGATGAGAAATCTTAAGGTCTGTTAGCAATGTTCAAAGGTACAATACAGTTATTATTTCACTATTATTTGGAAATTCATTCATTTGCCAATTTTCGTTTAATTTTAGCTTTTAGTTTTTTAGCCTAGTTGGAAATAATGAATGAGTAATGACAAAATAATATCTGGGATGATTTAATTCTTTAAATTATAGGTTACATAAAATCACTAAGATCTCAAGTATATCTTTGGTTTATAAATGGATTAAATAGCTCTGTATGGTAATTGCAAAATAAATTTGAACCTTATTCTATTAAACAGAGAGTAGATTTAATTTTGTTCTTTGAAGGACATGTAAGAAAGAATAAAGGTCATGATCAGTAATTTCTACATATAGTTGTAATTGCTCAAAAAAAATCTCAAATACTAAAATATGGTCCAGTGGACCCTGATGATATACCAACATTCTAATGATGCTGTTCTAACTACTGGCACTTAATTTTTTTTAGAAGGGTTATTCAGCTTAATAATAACAGGATAAATAGAGTATTCCATGTTTGTCTTGTACATTTTGATAATCACTGGCAAGTTTAGCAGTAATCAAACAAATAGACATTTAGGTTGAGAAGAGAAAGTAATAGAGAGATGATATATTAATTTGCTGATAGTGTAGCAACTTAGAGAAGTCATTTAATTGTTTCATCTTTTAAAGAAATAGAACATATGATTTCTCACATCAAAATTATGAGTAGGGATCATGTGAGAAAAAAAATTTTCAAGCAAACCTGTTTAAAGAGAACTTATGTTTTAAAAATTCCAGTATGTTTTTATCTCTATGTTTCCGTTATTTTTTCACTAAAAAGCCCTATTGTAGGTATGAAAAAACACTGTTTCTGTTTTGATCAAAAAGATATAATTGCTTATTGTTCACTTCACTCAAAAGACTGAAGGTCAACATTGATTTTTTTTTTTTAGTGAAGCTAACAGGAGGGTTTTGCTGGGTGCTATTGCTCCACACTTTCAGCTGGCATTAGTGAACATTTATATGCCTCACATTTGAAGTACTTTGAATGTATAAATATTTCCATATAAAGTATTATATATATAAAAGATTTATTTTTAAACATCAAAAATTGCATTGTTGGAGAATATTATATGATGAGTACATGTGGGTTTCAAGAGCAGCAGGAAACTTAAAATGTAGAAGTTCAGCTATAAACTAGTTGTTTGACATCGTCCTACTTTAGCTTCATGTAAAAAAACCCCTTTATTTATTTAATTAACTAATTTATTTTTAATGAAGTACCATTTTTTTATTTCCTTGTTAATTTTTTACAGTATAGGAATTTTTTGCCTCAGGTGTTATCCCTACAGTTCTCCCGCCACCAAAACACCTGTAGTCTGTTGATTGTGCTTTTTCTCTTGTCCCTCAGCCCCACTGGATTTCTCTCCCATTTCTTTTCCCTGTCCATTCTGGTGCTGGATACCTCAAATCTCATCTTTCAAGGCTTGTTTTTAAAGTTTGTCGTTATCTGCCCCTTACTTTGTTTCCTCTATATTCTACACATAAGAGATAGCATCCAGTATTTATCTTTCTTTTTCTGGCTCATTTTACTTAGCATATTCCCTTTCATGTTGCTACAAATGTCACAAGTTTATCTTTTTTGATCCCTGTGTAGTTTTTCATCTTATTCATATACCACAACACCTTATTGATTCACTTATCTGTTCTGGGACATTTAGATTAGCTATTGTAAATAGTGCTGCTTTAAACACAGGAGTGTAGGTTTTCTTTTGAATTAGTGTTTTGTGTTCATTGGGTAGATGTCTTACGTTGGAATTGTTGGGTTAGATGGCAGATCCATTTTTAACCTTTTGAGGAACCACTACGTGCTTTCCATTGGGGCTGCTACAGCCTACATTCCCACCAATATATTAGAGGGTTCCTTTTTCTCTATATCTTCAACAGTCATTGCTATTTCTTGGATTTTTTTAATATGGACCATTTTTTTTAAAGATTTATTTTATTTGTACATACAGAACTGGGGTACAGGCCAGAGGCTCAGGGGCGGCGAGAGGCTTCACCAGAGACAGAGCGGGGAACAGAACAGGCAGATCGATGAAGTACACTGCTGAGGGGAGCAGCGGGCCGGTCAGGAGAGGTCTGCCACGCCATGTGGTCACCTCCGGGGCAGGCGGGAATCGAACTCATGCAGAAGTGGCTTTAGCTTCTTAGTGCTGTGCTTTAACCCGCTGCACCACCAGGAAGGGCCAATATGGACCATTTTTACAGATGTGAGGTGGTATCTCATTGTGATTTTGATTTGCATTTCCCTGATTAATGATGATGAACATTTTTTTCATGTGCCTGTTGGCCATTTAAATACCTTCTTGAATAAAGTGCCTGTTTAGCTCTTCTGCCCATTTTTTGATCAAGTTGTTTTCTTTTTGTTAGCTGTATAAGCTCTTTGTTGGTCTTTGATATCAGTCCCTTGTTAGATGTATGGTATACAAATATTTTTTCCTATTCAGTAGGATATCTGTTCGTTTTGCTTACTTTCTCTTGCTGTACAGAACTTTTCAGTTTGATATAGTAGCACTTGTTTATATTCTCTGTTGTTTTTCTTGCTGCTTGAGTTGATTCTGTAAAGCTGTTTCTGAAGGTTATGTTAATGGAGTTTTGGGCTATGTTTTCTTCCATGTCTTTAGGTCTTACATTCAAGTCTGGCATGAATTAGTAGTATAGTTTTATTCTTTTGCATGTGGTAATCCAACTTTTCTAATGCCATTGTTGAAGATGCTACCCTTATTCCAGTGCATATTCTTCACTCCTTTGTCATAGGTTATTTGCCCATACATGTGCAGTCTTATTTTTGTTCCATTATTCTATCTGTCTGTTTTTGTTCCAGTACTATATTGTAGTAATTAGTATGGCTTTATAGTATAGTTTGAAGTCTGGAAGTGTAATACCACCGTTCTGCTATTTTTAAGTCAGAAGAACTTTGGCTATTCAAAGTGTCTTTTGTTGAATTTCAGTAATATTTGTTCTGTTGCTTTCAAGATTTTTATTGGGATTGCATAGAATGTGTAAATCACTTTGGATAGTATGACCATTTTGACAATGTTGATTTTTTTCTAGCCATGACCAGGGAATATCTTTCCCTTTATTTGTGTCTTCTTCTTCTTTGAACAATGTTTTAGGTTT